CCAGGCTGCTGGCTTCTTTAAACTGAGGTGGTGCTGAACACCTGAACTCCTCTGCGGTCCCGCTGACTCGGAGTTCAACATCTGCTGCAGCTGGGCTCCGTGTTGCATTACAATTGGAAAACAAGGTTTTGGGGGGTTTGTTTTTTGCTTTCCTATCGGCGGGCCCCAGCCACGCCGGCGGAGCTTTCTCCGCAAACCTTGCAGCACGGTTCCTAGAAGGAGAGCAACTTTTTCCCTCCTCTTTTCCAAGCCTTCACCGCTGACAGTAGGGGCTGGAAGCCATCCAAGGCTGTCGGTATAAATCTCGCTGACCTTGTTTCACCATCCCTTAACTTGCAGTTCAGCATCTCCCATCAGCTGGCGTCGACTTCCACTTTCTGGCTCATTTATTCCTTTTTCAGCTTTACAGTTTCATTTCCCAGGCTTGTCTGTTCATCCCTGGGTGGGCAGGGGGCGGAGGGGGGACTCCTGGCCCCTAAAAACCTCCCAGGTTTGTCCCTGTGAGGTTGCCAAAGCAAATATCTCACAGGAATTTGGAGATGCAGCCATAATCAAGTGCTCTGCAAGAAGACATGCTTTAGGGATGAGCCTGAGCCTGGCTCGCAGGAGAAGCAATGCTCGGAGGTGCAGTGCGATGTGGTTAGGTGGGAATAGCAGGAGATGCTTCCCCTCTGATCGGGAAGGGCTCTGATCCCAGCAAATGCTGCCCGGTGCCATCAGGAGGATGCGTGTGCCAGTAGGGTTTGTGCTCTGTCCCCGTCTTGGTGCAGGGTGTGCATCTGTATGGGAATTTATCACCCTCCAGAGGGTTCTTGCTGTTGTCCTTCATGCATTATTTCCATCTTTCTGCGATAACTTGATGTTGTGTTTGCTGGCCAGCTGTTTCCAGGGGTCATTGACTGCAGGGGAACAGCCTCATGCCACATGCTCGTGGGATGCTGGCCTTGCTGAGGAAGCAGAGAAGCCAGTAGCCTTTGGATATGTGGGCTGTGGATTGGCAAGTATTGGGAAGAGAGTAGGACCTTGTACCATGGGACTTCACCACGGTTTCCCATCCCAGCTGGCCCAGCTGCTCTGGAGACCTGGCCCTCCCTTCTGGATCTTGGAAAAGGGCACTGGGAGCCTGAGTGCTCCCAAAAATCCACAGCATCGTGTGCTACTTGCTTCCTAGGTGCTAAATCCATATGAAGAACTTGGTTTTCCACCTGCAGCCAAGTCTCACCTTAAAAAACTGTGATGATGCCAGTGTGTTTGGAGCCTTGTGAAAAAACAGTGCCAGTCGCTGCCACTGTTGCTTGGCTTCGTAATAGCATCCAGCATCTTTGGTATTTTAGCAGGAGGAGTCTGGTGGCAGGATGTATCAGACGTGTATATTTGCATTAGTGCTTTCCCTAAGCAAAGCTTGCGGCTCCGAGTTTTGCATGGGTGTTGCAGGTGCTTGTGTGCAAGGCAGCCAGGGGTGTGCAAGGGAGCCAAAGGGTGTGCAAGGCAGACAGTCATGGCTTTGCTTTTGCACTTCTGGAGAAAAAGCCCAGAAGCCTTTAAGTCGTATCCCCATACCTTTGCAGAGGATTAGGATGGCTAATTGGATTTTATTCAGGGTGCACCGTGAGCTCAGCATCACAGCTAGGGAAAGCGCTGGCCTGAATAGGGAGAGGTCAGAGGAGATCAGAGAAGGCTGTGGAGGGGCATGGCAGCTATCCTCATGTAAGGAAAGGGCTGTAGGAAAACCAAGAAAATCCAAGTAAATGGCACAAAAACTCCTGGGCGTAAGCAGCTGCAAGAAACATTTAGATTAAACAGGAGGAAGAACTTTCCAAGAAAAGAAAAGCAAGACACAGCAAAAAAAAAATCAATATTCTGGGGGCTTGTGGAAGCTCCCTCCATCTTAGGAGGTCTTAAAGCACGGATTAGGGAGAGATCTGCCAGGAATGATCCTGCCTCAGGGCAGCCAGAGACCAGATGATGTGCCTGTCAGCTCTCTGCCTCCTAGAGCAGGGCTTGTGCTTCTCCTCCTCTTCTCCTGGATGAGCACGGCATCTTTGTGACCCTCCTTGGTGGTGTTCCAGCAGCGCTCCTAAAAATCTCCCCAGAAAGAGCTGAAATCCTGGAAAAGGGATGTCTTTCCCCTCTTCGGCTGGGGAGTGCTTCAGAGAGGGAGGGGAAGATGCTCAGGGGGCTTTTCTCTCCAAAGAGCAAGGCTCCCCTCCTGCCACCGGCGCTGCAGCAGTAACTATTTTCTGGTTTAATCTCACGGCGGCTCTGCGTGTCTGAGGGATGAGGTCATGCTCGCTCACCCACAGCCCGCTGGCGCTTTTGCTTCGGTCCCTCTAGTTTGGGGAGCCGGGGGGGTGGGGTGGGTGGGATTGCACTCCCTGCAGAGGCTCTGGGTCCCTGCATGGTGGGGTTTTGGATGTCTCCTTAACCACCAAGCACTGCTGCAGACCTTTCCCCTTTCTCTGTGCATGGATGTGTGTTACATCCAGGGTGGGCATAAGCATCGGGTAAAACCCCCGGCTGTCCCCCCTGCCCATCTTACCTGTGCCGGGATGCTAGTCCATCTCTCCTGGGATGCTAATCCATCTCTCCTGGGGCTCCTGCTTGCTTCTTGCAGCCACTTTTAAAAACACAAACCAAACCAACCGGCTGGAGAAATGCTTTTTCCTTCTTCTTTCTTTTCTTTTATTTATTTTTTTTTTCCCCCACTTTTACCACTCGACAGGAATCAGCCGATCATGAGGCTTTAAATCTCCGGGAAGAAGAAATGTGGTGACTGATGGCTGGAAATACAGCCTTCGCTTCTCGCTCTAGTAGATCCTAGCTCCTAAACTCATGGTAGTATGGGTAGAAAAGCTGGTTTAGGTAATCAGTGGAGATTGCTATGATTTTATTAGACCCTCCAAGAGGCTTGCACGGCTGAGCAAAACAATGGGTGCCCATAAAGACACAAAAAATAGACCCAATTAAGTATTTTATTTTAAGAAATCCTTCCAACCTGGTGTGAAGTTTTTCCCCTCCCTCAAGTTCAGGATTAATTGCACTTGGGGGCCTATAGCCGCATCTACTGCTGGCAGGGAGGGAGCACCCTTTGCGGAGGTTTGGGGCACGTCGCCTGGGCTCCGGCTCCAGATGGTACCCATCTGGGATGGGCAGAGCTTGGTCACACTGCATCTCTCCAGGACGGGCAGAGTTTGGGTACCGCCAGATAAAAATCAGGCTTTGGGAATACACGCTGGAGTCTCCTAGAGGGAAAACAATCTGGTTTGGGGTTTTAAAAGCAGCAGCTGTTGGCAGCCTTCTTCTCTGGAAGCTGGAAAGAAAAACTGCTCCTCCCCAGACCTAGAGGTCACCTAGTAAATGGGAAAGTCCCTGAAAAGATGTTACTGGCAAAGCTCAGGGCTAAAGAGAGGAGCGCCTGTTGAATCAGAAAGCAGAATTACAAAGTTTATTATAGATGGAGGAAACGGGAGCTCGAGATAAAATAGCATTCGAGGAGGGGAAAACAGGAAAAGGCTCCATTTGAACTCAAAAACAGAAAGGAAAAGGTTAAGCCTAAAGTCAAGGAGAAGGGTCGGGGCAGAGTGAAAGGCTGGGAGGGGAAAGGTGAAGCTCGGAGTCAAAGAGGAGAATAGAGGGGCCAAAGCAAAGGGGAAGGACATAGGAGGGAAAGGACAAGCAGGGAAGGAAAGAAAAGGACAAAATGGGGGTTGAGGGGCTGGGGTTGCTGCAGGGGTTGCTTCTCCTCAGCTGCAGCTGAAATGGGGTGTTGCAGGGCTTTTGGGGGGCAAGAGTGAATGTGTTGGTGGGGAAAAGAAGCTGGGATGTCTGTGTACCCACCCGGCCACCTTGGCCAAGTCCCCTCTGGGGTGTGTGAGACACTCTGAGTCTCCTCCTGCCCAGCTTGGGGTGATGCTGTAACGCAGTCACTGTCTCCCCTCTCTGTTATTAATTTATTATAAAAAATTAAATGTTTGCAGATCTTGATTTAGCTTTCCTAGCAAGAAACATCCCATATTGCTTTCCCATCCTCTCTTTATGCTGGGAATTGGGAGGACAAAGGCTGGAAAGAAGAGCAACTTTTTGTTTTTAAATGATGGTGTATTGGTAGAGACAACACAAAAATCCACTTGCAGTGGTCGATCATTTTAATATTTCAGGCAGGTAAGACCAACGGGTAGGGCTGATACCACTGCAAGGGTGAAAAATTAATATCTCAGCATCTTGGAGCTCATGAGATCCACTTAAGGGTCGTCTTCTTCCCACCATGTGTAGCAGGCTATAGGATCGGTACCCTAGACCATTTCTTTATTACCTTTAGAAGGTCCGCACGTGGGGGGAGTTGCATGTCAGTCCAAGGCCATCATTGTTCAGCCAGATTTACGCTGCCGAAGCCAACGGTTTGGTGACGCTGGGGAAGCATTAATGGTCTAGAGGGACTGGATGAGTTCCTGGATGAAGAAATAGTTTCTGCCTCTGCAAAAAAGTAATTAAATGATATTTTGTGGAGCCGTTCTTCACAAGTAAAATATGCTCTTTATTACGTGTTTTGGCATAAATCTATTTAGTCATAATTAGGGCTTGTTCCAGCTTTAATGTTCTAATGGGTGCATATCTGCCTAAATCACCTAAAATGCTTGGAGCACAAATTCTTTTTCTATCTTAAATGCGAAGAATCTCTTACATATCACTTCTTGTGTTTAATTATGTATTGCACTATGCAACAGAAGCACGCAAAGATTTAGTTTAGGAAATAAAATCTGTTCTTCCAACTTGAAATTCTCTTTCTCTAGCTGAAGTAAGCTTATTAATCTCTTTTTCCGCAGGTATCTTGTGGCTTTACGTACTGGGTTTTTTTGCTTGGATTTTGATCCCTGAGACTCCTCTCCCCTCCTCTCCTCAAAACCCAACCCAATCACCCAGCTAGAAAGCAAGGCTCTTCACCCTCACCTGCAGCTCCAGAGCGATGCTTTGTCAGCACCCATTCTACATAACACAACCAGAGAGCACTGAAGTACCGCTTCCCTCAGCACTTCACCAGGAACGGCCGCAGCAGGACCATCTCCAAGGGGTTCCCTGTCCCCGCGCGTGGATCCTTCCTCCGGCACCCAACAGCCCCACCATCCACCCACATCCACAGTGCAGGTAAGCTTTCCAAAAGTCAGCTTTTCTCACATGGTCGTCCTCTCCTGCCGCTCCTGGCATCACTGTGCTGCTGGGCTGGGAGCAAAGCTCCAACCAAGGTCCTACCAAGAGATCCAAAATAATAATCCTAACGGTAGAGCTGATGTGAAGTTTGCAGCCTGGCACGTTGTTTTCCCTGCTCACCTTGTCCATGGCACTCTGGCTGCTGTGGTGGCTTAGACGACAAGGTCTTCAAGGCAGGGATTACCTCTTAGGACAGGCTTTGCTTCCCTGAGTGTAACCCAAACTGCCCCTGAGGCCCCAGATAAGTATAATCCATGCAGAACCAGCACAACTGGTATTACCGGTGCTGCAGGACAGCCCCCTCCCTGGAGCTGTCCTTAGAGTCCTGTCCAGAATGAGATTTAGAAGAAAAAAAAGAGCTGGACCCAGCAAATGCAAAACGTACCAGGAGGTTTGCTCCTCTGCGTTGATGGAGGTGAGGTTTGGGTAAGAGATGCTGAGAGGCCCTGCTCTGGAGGGCTCTGGTGACCACCCATCCTCTGCCCTGGGCTTTAAGCATTCACATGGTGGGTGTCTTCTGCAACGAAAATAAGCCATGAGAGAAGCCCCTTTACTGGGACATTGGATTTGCTGGAATTCTGCTTATTTTTGGCGGACTACGTAATTTATTTGCCCCTTGTAAGGACAGTAGTGAGGAACCCGATGATGCACAGCACGCACCGAACTGTGCGATGCCTTTTGGAAAACCCAAGAGGTGGTCATCCTTGGGAGAGCCGGCAACGCGGCATCCAGAACCGAGGCGCTGCTCTCATGCAAGCGCCTTCTCCCATCGTATCTCTTCCTAAAAACAGAGAGGAGTAAAAAAAAAACCAAAAACCAAACATCCCAGATGTTTCTAAACAGGATGTTTACCTACACCTCAGGAGGCGGCAGCGGTTTAAGTGCTGGGAGAGGATTTGGCTCTCCCTATGGAGCTCCTCTGTGCGGGGTCCCGCTCCAGCGTGGGGCCAGGGGTGGGTTTTGGGGAGACCCCGAGGGAAGGGGCAGAGCGGGGGGGGCTCCCGGCGCGCCGTGCCTTTGTTCGGGCAGGGCTGGAGCCGAGCGGCCGCGGGGCGGGGAAGGGAGGGAGG